TGAAAACTCTCGCGTTTGTAGCAATCATTTTATTTCTGGTAAGTAGATGATGTGAAATACTTTGGTAAGATTTTTAATCTCTTCTCGGGAATCAGTCCTCACTTCCACAAGGAATAAAATTGTTGACCGAACCAAATGATAGCAAATCACCTCGCGCACATGTTCGCACGTATGGTCTGTCATCTTTGAAGTTGCGTGAATTATCAAGAGATAACCAAGTTATTTCTTACGAATTGTCCGACAAAATGACCTAAATTAATGATTTTTATCATTACATAGAAATTTTGTCAAAGAAATAGGACATTAATGAATGTTTACTTGTAGGAGAACGTGCTGAGCTCCTGGACACCACCAACCATTACTGGGCACCTACCATAAATCTTGGTCACGACAAAATTAAAAATTTTTCCCTGGCAGTTGATCAAAATGCTCGTGCTCAAAAGAGGAATGAAATCAAACGGAAATATGATGAGTTAACTTCCTCTAGTACTACCCAAGACAGCACTGTGGAGGAGGTTATACAAAGTTGCGAGTTTGTCGAGACTGAAACACCTTGTAAGTGTACTTTGTCATGACCCAAATGCGGTCCTAAAATCGCACACTTGCTTACTTGTTTCAAGTTTCTTCAAGGGGTGTTGTGTGTTAACTAAAAATAATGTTGGCACTTGCATCTTGTCTTCTAGTTGTCACTGTGCCAGAATGCAAATTTATATGGAATAATATTATCCCTTTCATTTCAATTAATTCAAATTGTAGACAGTATTGTATTTTGTAAGACAGATATGTTGGTAAATCCCAACAGCAACCCTGTTTTTGGCCTTTCATTCATGCCACCTACAAGCCTATGTTGGAATATTTATACAGCCATTACTAGATAAAATTATACAGTTGACATAGGATGCATTTATATTTTTCATTGCAGCACGCACAAGCAATTTCACTTCAGGGTTATGTCCCATTGAGGATGGCACTTCAGGGTCATGTCCCATTGATTATGGCACTTCAGGTTCATGTCCAATTGATGATGCCATTAACCTTGCTGACAGCAGTGATTGTAATGATAATGATAAACATGACCAATTTTGCCAGACTGAAAAAAAGGTTTTGTCAGAGGGATGCTACCAGACTGACCTTGATATGGCCCAACTGGAGAGACAGCAGATCTACTTGCAACACATCACTGATGAGCTAAGCAGTACAAAGGGGCAACTACTTTCTCTTCAGTTAACAATGGAAAGCTTTACAAATAATGATGAAAAAACCAAGTTTTATACATTTTCCCTTTCAATGCATGTTTTTAATATTATTGCTCCTTGCATAAAAATAACCACCCAAAATGCACTAGGCCAGTTTCAAGAGTTTCTCTTAGTTTTAATTAGACTTAAACTCAATTCTCCATTGCAGGATTTAGCTTTTCGTTCCAATATATCTGTGCCAACCACATCAAGAATTTTTGACAGGTGGACACATGTAATGTCTATCACACTAAAGTTTTTAATCCAGTGGCCAAATCATGATGAACTGCAAGCCACCATGCCTGCAGTTTTCCAACACAATTTTGGCAAGAGAGTTGCAGTCATCATTGACTGCTTTGAGATCTTTATGAAGAGACCATCTAGCCTAAATGCTAGGGCAATGACCTGGTCTAATTATAAACATCACAATACTATAAAGTTTCTTATTGGTGTAACACCACAAGGTGTTATCTCATTCATTTCAAAGGCATGGGGAGGGAGAGTGAGTGACAAATATCTCACAGAAAAGTCTGGTTTGTTGAGAAAGCTTTTACCTTGGGACATAGTGCTTGCTGACAGGGGCTTTGATATTGCTGACTCTGTTGGTCTTTATCAAGCTCACCTTCATATACCAGCATTTACTAGAGGTAAGAAACAGTTGTCTGCAGAGGAAGTGGAGCAAACCAGAAAAATTGCTAATGTCCGAATCCACGTGGAAAGGGTGATTGGTCTTGTCCACAGAAAGTACACTATATTGCAAGAAATACTCCCTATTCAGCTGGTGACAGTTCGGCAAGGTGATGACTTGGCTCCAATAGACAAAATTGCGGCAACTTGCTGTGCGCTTACTAATATATCAGAGTGTCTTTTGCTGCCCAGTTATCCACGAGGTCTGGAGTACCAGATAATTCACAATGTCGGGATATTCCACGCTAGGATAATCCACTAAATCCTCGCTACACTCCGATTTTTTTAACGTGTATGGATCAAATCCACAGGTAAGAACTTTTACTTTATACCAGCAATTCCAAATTTTTGCACATCAATTTCATGGTGCACATGAAGGGCAAATCCATTCTCCATCAGGCTCTGTTCTAAGTCCCACACATGACTTGTACACTTTCATTTGCTGCCTGGTTATCCACGAGGTCTGGTGTACCAGATAATTCACAATGTCGGGATATTCCACGCTAGGATAATCCACTAAATCCTCGCTACTCTCCGACTTTTTTAACGTGTATGGATCAAATCCACAGAAAAGAATTTCTACTCGATACCTGGCCTTAGCAGAACCGGTAAGACTGCCATAATTCTCCGAAAAAGGAACACTTTCGCTCAACGTGTCTGCCGAAGCCATATTTACTTTAACAGATGTTCACCAGCATGGCAGTCGCGACTTGCGTTACAAAATTTGGTCACATGGCTGAAAACAAAGAATAGGTGGATAACTGAACAGTTTACAATATTTTGCTCATTAGCATAGGGTTGAAGTAGAAAATAATTGAAAACTGAGTCCAACACCTACAAGAGCTTGTTGATATGCTGCAAGCATTCTATGAGGCTAGTAGCTAGATGCATCCTATACATGTAGTACTCAAGAAGTCTGATTTTCACTATGTCTGGGTGGTAAAAGCACTAAAAGAGCCCAGCATAACCCTCCCATGCATTCTCTGTAAGAATTGGAATTCTTTTAAAAAATCTCATCACGCAGAACCTACCGTATTTCATCTGCCAGGCTCACACTTTGACGAAAGACTTATTTTACCATGTTCTTTCAACATTCAGTGCTGATTTGATGTTATTCAGGATAGAACCCTATGTTATTGAAGCAAAATGCATTTTGTGATGTTGAACAAATTGGACTTGAATCACTATTTACCAGTACATTTAATTTTCAATCACCCTAGCTGCTTCTTCTATTATCAAGAGAAAACCACCCATGGAATGCACTCCAGAACACGATATTGCACTCTGCCGAGAGCTGCTACTTGTCAACCCATTCAAAGAAAAATATAAGGCAACTAAGCATGCAAAGCTGTGGGATGAAGCACCAATCAGTGACACCATCTTTTAAAAAGAGCCTCGAGAAACAAGCAGTGCAGGAACGATATAGACACCTTGTAGATAAGTTAAAGAAAAAGATGGCCAGTAAAAGAAGAAAAGAAAGTGGAATAAGCCCAACAATGTCAGAGCTGGATACATTAGTGGAAGAGCTTGTTGAAGGAGAGCAGTCTGAAAAGGACCAACAGGATAATGAAGGTGAATTTTCCAGTATCTATAACCAGTGAGATATTAGGATTCCAGCCCTTTCCCAATCTTTCAAATTCTCCTTACCAAAAATTTTGTTTTTAGACAAACTTTATGAATTTCTGTTCCCAGAGGAAAATGATGCAACAAAGCTCCCCGTTATTTGAGGTATCCCCATGATCAGCCTGTGGTTAACCCCACTGAGGTTGATGACAAGTGCACAACAGGATGAGAAAAATAATTTTTACTTTATGAACCTATGAAGCCTCCAAATGCTAAACATGTCAAAGGTCCCTGTTTTGTGAACAGCAAAATATTAAATTGTTTGGCTTTGTTTATGCCTTGTGATTGGCTTTTCCAGTGATTATAATTCCTGCATGGATTGAAAAAATCTGGTACAATTTTGCTGGGTTGCCCCAGTAAGCACTCGCTCCTTCCAAAGCTATTGCATTGTGGGGTATTGGTAATTCATGTTTCCTTGCAAAACTTGGCAATTGCCCATCCAAAAGTTGTTGCTTCCTTATAAAGTCTATGAATCTTTGATTCCTAGGGATTGTGGAGAAGGCTTTATAAGGCAACACTGTAAAACATCAAATATCCTTAATCTTTGTTACTGTGTATGCAGAACCAATTTTGAGCTGTTTTGAATTTGGAATATTTCTAGACAAGTCCATGAGATACAAAAGGAGAGAGGAGGGAGAGGAAATGAGATTAAAGGTACTAGAGCAACTGGGAGAAACAGGCAAGAAAAAGAAAGACAAGGAAGATGGAAAGGGGCAGAAAAAGTCAAGGAGAGAAGTGGAGGTGATACAATTCAAGATCTAAGAGAAAAAGTGAGCAAGAAATGAAGTTAAGAGAAAAAGATCAAGAGCTGGAAAAGAGTAAGCAAAAGGAGGAGAAAATAAAGAATGATGCATTTTTAAATGCCATGCTTCAGCAGCAGCAACAACAATAACAACAACAACAGCAACTTATGGTTCTGCTGGCCCAGCAGAATCAACTTATGATGAAAATGTTTGAGAAAAATGGAAAGTAACCCCCAAGGTCTTGTTCCCACAGTTTTCCTTCACTATACATGTATCTCAGTCTAAGAATCTTTTGTTGCATCGATCATTCAGTACACTTTTGCAATGACTGCAGAAATTCTTACACCCTAATTGTCTAATTTTTTTTGTCAATAGGTCGACAGACACATGAATTTATAATTTAAATGCATTGTTGACACAACAGGCAAGAGCAGGCAATTTGACAATTTGTTATTGCAAACATCAGTTTTTCATGCATCTGTCCTGTTATTGACAATATAGAGCAATATTAATATTTATTGTCATATTTTATATACAAGTACAAAAGCAATTCTTGCAGTGAGATGAATTTTAAATATTTATTACACGATATTTGTAACAAAATCATTCTTCAAATAAATTACTTAAAATATTAATGTGGGTTTGCAAATATCAATTTTTCATGTTGACACTGGGAGCATTCCTGTTTATGTACAAGGCCATTAGGCTGATCTTATTACCTAATCAATGTCAGTGAAATTCCAAATAAGCTCTGTATAACATAAAGAGAACATTGGCCATAGCCAGTTTTATTTTATCCTGCTTTTATTTGTGACAAATTTCAGAGGCATTGCCAGGGGGGATCCAGGATGATCCCCCTCCTTGGAGGAAAAATATTATTATAGTAGACATCATTGGAAAAATAGGGAAAATGGTCTGGGGAAACCATATCTTTGTGCAGTTTTGGCAACCCCTTTTTCAAATCCTGACTTACCCTTGTAATTTCAGCACTTGAAATTGTAACTATTATGCCAGGTGGTCATGTAGTATCCTCCATACTCAAGGGAAAATGGATAGTCTAAGAGAAATAATCATAGACTGATGGTGGGTCCAGACCAAATGAATGTTGACGTCTGATTTCCATACATGCAAGTTAAAGCATTGCAAACGATAGCACAAACAACATACATCTTCCCAATAGTACTTAGACCAATTTTATGGGTTTTTTTATATTCCAGAAACTTAAGTGAGTTAATGACATCACCGAAAATCCATTCTAGGGAGGTCCATACTTTGCTCATTCTTGTATTATACAACTCCATTGCTGGTGTGAGTCTTCTCACTGCCCCAGTTCGAAATGGAGCCTGCAGGTGTGTCCTTACAGGATAGGCAGGGTCACCATATAAGCACATGACTTGACCAGCAGCCGAGTAGGCATGGGTCTCTAGATCATCTAGCAGGTGAGAATCTCCTAGCATGCTAGCATCATGTGCCCTTCCCTCTGTTACTGTGGATACAATTAACAATATATTATTATTGCAAAACAAATTAACAAATAAAATAATTATAATAATATATAAACAAATAAATACAGTAAGTAATAAATAAATGCATAAATAAATAGCAATCAGTAAGGGATCTACAAATAAATAAATCTAGAATCTAGTAATTTTGCACTGGTTACAAGATACTATTGAAGAATTTTTAAAGTCACTTGCCAACCTCAACAGTTAAAAAAGGACATTTTAGCAAAACAAAATATTTCCTCAAACTACAACAGCAAAAATATTCACGCCCACTTGGTGTTTTATCTGCTAGTAGATATATTACTAAGTTAAACATTTTCGTGGCATTGTCAGTTACAATATCTTTTCACACACACTTTTAGTCAAATTAAAGTTATTGTCCTGCATAAAAACAATGCATTTTTCTCGAGAGAAAAAAACTTAAGCTTACCTACAGGGCCAAACAGATTTGCAATTAATCCAGAGGGAACTGTCATGGACTGAAATTTTATAGAATGCACTCTTTTGTGTCCATTGAAGACAACTTCTTGTAGTTCTACAGGTCTGGATATTGGCCTTACAGTTCCGTCAATAAACCCAAAGCAATTATCGAGCGGAGCACCTTGTTCAGCGATGGCATCAGCATACGTCTGAAGAAGCGGGGGGTTCAGGATCTGGCGATTCCACTATGTTATACGATGACCATGGTTGTTATAAAGGTGATCGATGACACAGTTAGTAATCATGCTGAGCTCAGGAACTGCACGACCAAATCTTGGGATGAGATCGCTGTAACGACAAGGGTATGCTGTTCGCCTAAGCAGCAGGCAAAGATCTTCCAGCTTGTCAGCAACAGTCCTCTGGGAACAAACGAATGTTCCGGCAGATCCAAAGCCTCAGCTAAAACCGGAATATCGTTTTTGTTGAAGGGTATTTCAGCTTTACATTCTGGCTCGGGGATTTCATCTAGTTCAAATCGCTGGTATAAGTAGTTGTTCGTCACTGATGACGTTCGTCTCATGGCTTAATAGAAGCTTAATAATGGCTTTTTTAAATGAACATATTTTCGTTGTTTCGAGAGCGTACGCACAGCATAAAGCAATTTTTGTTTCCTTGTTTACATCACGGGCTTGCAATTTTTATTTTCGCGCGCCAAGAACGCCAATCTCGATCTAGTCCCCTCACGGCAATAAGCCCTCCGTCGTGAAGAAAAGTCCTGATGCTTAAGCTCCGTAATGAAATGCAATTAATTGATGATCGAGCTTCGTAAAACCACATCAGATTTGTCGTGACAGCTGATCACAAAAAAGAAAATATCCCAAAGAGCCAATGATAATTTAAAGTTATAGCATGTAAACCTCTTAAGGCACTGTAAATAAACGAGTCTCGATTGGCTTTTAGTCTTCAATTTCATGGGCTGAGATAGAGTGATGCTTGTTTCATGGGCCGATCAGAATGGAAAGGCAATCAAAACCAGCGAGATGCAGAATCACCTTTTACACGAAGTTTTCTCCATCAAGAATTGCAGAATCTCTGAAATAGTGAGCGTGCCCTCATTAATCGGTACTAGCGTTAAGATGAGTTAAGAGACTTTAGATTCGCACGTGCTATCAGCTGGTAGCCTCCTCCAAACGCTTAAGGGAGGAGGATATTTGGAGAAATATCCCAATCTGCCTTTTTTTAGTTAAGATGAGACAAGGAAACCACGGAAAACTCCACGATTTTGTAATTCATTAAAATGCCACTGTTTTCTAAAATTTCGTCGTGCAGTTATTTATCCAGCTTTTCAGGTGTGTGCGCATTTATGCAACTATCTACACAGATTACTCGCCCATATATAAAATATGATTACAAAAGCTCGGTGGCCAATTTACCATTTCAACTTTTGTTGATATATCCAAATTATTTCGTTACTCCCACCGACGCAGCCCCAAACAGTTTCTTTCGAAACTATCAGCCTTTATTCATATATAAAATATGCCTACTCACTGAGCAGCTTTTCTGCAATGCATTTTTTTCCAATGCTTTCTAATGCATATGCGAGACGCTCCGCCACTGCGCTGCTCCCTTCTTTTTGTTTCCAAATGAGGAGTAAGGCGTTTGCTTTGTCTCGAGCACAACGATAATCGTCGTCCAGGTTTTGGATCTTTGCTGCAGGAATATCAAGCTTTGGACCCAGCTCACGCCAGCAGGTGCCTACGTCATCACTTATGTCTGAAAGCTGCAGTTCTGTTACCACAGAGGTCCTTGGATCGATAACATTTGCTGTGTGCGGGGGCACAAAGGGAAATAAGATTCTTAAAGTTAATGTTTAAGTTGCATGTAATTAAACATTGCCTTCTTGCCCTAGGGTAGAAAACTAACCGGGTTTTAATTGGACAGTTATAACTTAAAGGGGTGAAGCTTCTGTTGAATTGTTCGGTTGGATGTATAATTCTAAACTGCCAAACACGTAAGTGAGACGTTATACTTTACGATGCATTAGGACTTGGTTAGTAAATTAACTTCTGCATTGAAAATAATTTTCATTCTCCTTTGCATCCTTGAGTTACACCACTCACTGAATTCTAATTACTTTTACGAAGAAAATTAGATCAAGTTATTCAATTTGGATATTTCTGATTTCAAGCAGCCTCATCAATCAGCCTTAGTTATGTCAGCGTTTTTGTTTCATATATGTTCAGTTGTTTTCTGATTATTGCTTAAAATCTTTCAAACATCACGTATCTCCTTAATTATATTTACAGCGAGATCTCATAAGTGCTATAGTCAACCACCGAAGCTTGACACGATATGCAGCAAACATAATGGATATGTCGCAACGTCATTCGACAAAAATACACTCTAATTCAACTCACTTTTTTCAGAATCCCTGGATCAAGCCTTTAAAACATGGCGGAAAATCTTTCGTTCACTTTAAAAGCAAAAAGTCTACTTTATGACAATCGCCGCTTAAAGCGGACAGCGACAGGTACAATTTCAGTTTCCTGTTTGTTGTTCGTCGTAAACATCCGATGCGGAAACTCTCAAATGTCTTTCTTATACATAATCACAATATTGGAATTTCTGCTTTGCAGGCAATCGGAGGGTTGCTAGTTAACATAAGTCTGCTTTCCCTTTATTCACATGGAGATGGAGTCAACAAATGTGAAAACATTCAGAACCGAGTACAAAAGTGCTATGATCTTATCTGTTGTTTACTTTCAAGTCAATATTTTTGGCGCCATCGACGTCATTATCTACTCATCGTGTTTCTTTTCTTTACAAATTGGTGAAAATTCTAACCAGTGCTGCTACAATCCTGACCTTATCTTGAGAAGGGGGCAGTATGATAAACTCACCGAACATCACGATATATGTAAAGCCTATAGATGTCAATTGAAGTAAACGGATCGTCACCCATAAAGACTCCCCCAAAAAATTTAAAAGTTAAATTACAAATTGTATGATTTAGCTTTCGGCCTATGAAGGAAAACCTGCAATAACTGCTTTGCAGAACCAAAGGATGACACTTAAATTGAGCCCAAGCTATACTATGACAAGCTACCGAGACTGAACTAAACTAAATAGCCATATATATATTTACCACGAGAATATTATATTGACAAAAGCTTACTTCTAATTTGAATACCATGCTCAGCTTCTCTTCCGTTTGTCGCAGCCAATGCAGGTGTTTTCGTTTCCTCTGTAGCCATAGGACTTGCTTCTCTTTTATCTACCTCTTTTTTTTTCCAAAATAAAACTATCCTTTCCCTCTGTGAATTGATCAAAGCTTCGCTGTTCACTAGATGGCCATTCTCGAAAATATTTTCAGCCACATCTTGTCATGATTAAAGTAATATTATTCAAGTTTTGAACTAAACATGCCTTCTGGTTTACTTCGACATCCGACGTTACTCAGATTTTCGATATTGACAGAATTCACAGCTTTCACCTTCACGCCAGTAAACACAACAAAGTGTAGCAGATTATTACGATACGCCCCCCACGCATGTTAATAATTACAAAACACAGAAATTCCACGTATAATGAAAAAGGAAAAAACTCAGTCTAAATATAAGAATTGTTGACCGCGGAAATACGTTTTCGTGACGTCCCAGTAACTGGTCAGTGGTCATCAACCTCAAGGTGCGGAGCGCTTCGATTTGTTCGCGAGATCAGTCAAGGTATTGGCTATTTGCGTGGATTTTAAGTGAAAAATATCCTGGATACTTTTAAGGTCGGCACACACGAGGGGACTAGTCCCTTCGACTAGTCGCAGCGGCCAGTTTCATGCGACTAGTTCCTTCGTGTGAACTACACATTTCTGTGGTCGCAGGGACCAAAATTTGGTCCCTGCGACTGATCGCACGAATTCAAACTGGTTTGAATTCGTGCGACCAGTCGCAGGGACTTGTCGCATGAAACAAATGTTTGTCCCTTCGTGTGAACTGTTTGTGCGACCAGTCCCTGCGACTAAACGGTAAATAAGCCAATCACGGGTCAGCATGATGCGTGACTTCCGGTATTTGTAAACATTGCAGTTTCTATGAATTTTCCCTGACTTCTAGATTTTTACAACTGAAGAATAAAAAACTATTTCTATTTTTGTAAACATATACAGATGTCTTGGAGCCGTTTTGATGGAATTTTTACCCTATTTGACTCTGTGTTAAAAATAAAATAAAAAAAACAAAAACGGAACACGTAAAAGCATGAATGATCCGACTGAATAAGTGTAGTTCGTTTGCGTTGATGTTTAAAAGTGCTACAATGAAAAGTTACCAAATTTTAATTGTTTTCGTGTAACGCCCCAGACTAAGAAACATCTTTTGCCTCTTAATTTTCCTATGTTCTTGTGCAATTGAGTGCCCTCGTGTGAACGCCCAAAGGGACTAGTCCCTGCTACCGGTCCCCCTCGTGTAAACCCTTCAAAGACTTGTCGCCGGGACTAGTCGCACGGACCAGTCGCAGGGACTAGTCCCCTCGTGTGTGCCGACCTTTAGCTTTTTGTGAGATTTGATCCTCTAAATGTACTTTTGATTCTGAAACAAAGTCTGAATGAGTCCTTGCTCAGTAGAGTCATTTTGTGTGGAGTAAAGTGCAGCTTGCGGACTACGGCTGATGAAGCGTCGATCGTGGTACTCTCCTCGCCTTCAGAAGTGTCTAAGATAGCGAAAGGGTATCCAGGCAGAGTAGAAGGCTGGTTTTGTGTGATACTTTTACAGGGAGTTTGAACACTGGTTGGATTTAAAGTCTTATTTGTTCGAAGCGGTAGAGGTGAGTCAGAGCCATTCTCGCGTTTTGAAAGTTTTCTTTAAATCACTTAGCTTTGCGCCGACATGTGACGCTTGTTAAGTTTGGAAATTATTTGCATTGATTAGGATTTTGTTGTTTCGGTCACCTTTCTTACTTTCTGCACCTTTTGAAACGGGCTATTCAAGGCCACTAGAAAATAGAAGAAGCTTGTAAGTATGTAAGGGATTAGAATGTGCAATACCTTCGGTTTACTTACAATTTTTCTTTACATGAAGCCTTTTTGTTAACAAGCGATTTTAGACCTGTTTTACTTGCTTTTAGTACGTTTGCTGGAAACTGTAGTTACTACCACTTTTAATTTTTCAATTTGCCCAATACCTGTACTTGTCGACACGAAGCGTTTGCAATCGTGGGATGTGGTTAAGTTTTATTTCTTTCGACACTGGAACAGCAATAAACTTCTCAGATAGGTATTACTTATCACTGAAATTCACTAATTTAAATTTTCTTACCTAGTCATTTTAAGCTGTCACAGATACACGTATGTTTACTCGATCTCTATTCCACTATCGTACATGTACATGTGCTTTGTATCAATTTATGTAAATAATCAACTACTGTGCTTGTTCCATTTGGGTAGTTTTGTAGATAAACTTTGCTTTCCTTTTACACAATCTGTATGTGTTTAATGAATCATACATATTACATGATTTTATTTCAATACAGAAATAATTAAGATCCCCTTTAAAAATATTGCATCACCCCCCTCCCCCCCCCTTACAGCATTGTAATTTATCTTTTGTAACATTCTTACTTAATTTTTGAGACTTTAGAGCACCTGGTGTCAACTACATATATATATACATTACCAAAACTAGCAAAATCGTTTATTGATTACCCCCTGTGCAGCCACCCCCCTCCATCATCTTGTTCCAGACTATCCCTTCCCTTATTTCAAGCTAATGACAACCTTTTGGTTATTCCTCATGACTTATGAATTGGGCATTGACAACTGATCTCATCTTTTGAACTTTTTCCTCCTGAATATTTTTGATAAACAGGGGTGACTTGAAATACTTGTGATCTTTTGCCTTTGGCATTTCTAACTTGGGAGATTTGTTGCTACTATCATCACCATTGTCATCATCATCATCATGTACTTCTTCTCCTCCACCATAATCTCCATCAATACCTGACAATAATCCTTTTTTCCATGCCTCAGACCGCTTCTGAATATCAGAAATCAGGTTTGACACACATATGATCCATTCAAGGCCGTTACCACCCTCATCAGACATGCACAGAGTATGAAAGGTATGGCCACAAGACAGTAGCTGGATAGATGCTTGAGATGGATAATGTTATGCTTCTGCATCACCATTTACTGAAGGCTGTGGTCGGGAAGAAGGCCATTTGTTTCCCAAAGGTAACAACTTGGTACTGATAGTCAGGGGTTTCATGCACCCGCCAAATTGACTGGTTGTAAGGACGGTTTTGCCCACCTGGTTTAACAATCTGGAGGAAGGTTTATCTTATAAAGAAGTTTAGTTAAAAAAGTTTTGCCCGCCTGTGAAAACCAGTTACCCTCCTGCTGAAAAAATTAATGAAACCCCTGGATAGTATGGTGCTTTGCCATAAAGCCATCCAGCTCTGTTCAGTGGCCTTGGCAACATGTAAGATTTGCCTAGGTTAAGTGCTACTCTCTCAAACATGGCCAGGATTCCCTCAGATGCCAAACCTGTTGATTACACAGATCAAGTGCATAAATGATAGACCTGTTTTTTTGAGAGAAGAATACACAACACTGTATTTTATATAAGTTGACAGCAACATAATTTGATTGTAAATGTATAAGTAAATGTATTTTCGTTGCTGCAGTGCACATACTTGTATTTTTGCCTTCCTTTTTGATAAATGCAAGTGGGCATATTAAGGGGATCAATTAAAATCCTCAGAAGCCCCTTAGATTTTCTATTGATACATACCTGAAAGTATAAGCAAGTCTTGGTCACTATATCGATCCTCTTAGATATGGTGGGACATACCATAAATCCTCTATTAAGCCACCCAGGGGGCTTATCTTTTCAATCACTTTTGAGGAAGGGCCTAATAGAGATGGGGGGCTTAAAAGAGAGGGGGGGGGCTTATTTAATTTAGGGAAATGCATCACCTGTAGCAAAAATACCGTGGTATGAGACAGAGCAGACTTACACTTAAAGTCACTGTCAAAAGTATTTAATTCACATGTGGGAGCCTAAAAGTAACAAAAACAAAATTCTTATTCTCCAAAAATGTGCTTTTGGTCTCATGTTCTTCGGTAATTTTTATAGGAAAAATTCACATGCCAGCAGGATACAAGAGAAGAAGAAAAGCTGTATGATGAATTTTCAGTTGGCATTTACCGCCTGTCTACCAGCAGCTCTCAAGATCAAGAACTAGTTCGACATTTTCCTATAGAATTATCATTTCTACTTTGTAAATTTTTATCTTGTGAAGGTTGCAGCTTAGAATTTTCATCGACAGGAGCAAGGTTTCCCAAGGTCAGACTTGTGGTTCCTGGGCGGTACACTGCTTTGTCTAACGATAAGAAAATGGTGGCAATTCTACACAGAGAACTAGAGCGCAAAGTTGAGAAAGTTAAGCATACGAAGTTGGAGGTCATGCGGCTGAAGACCAAAAACAATATGAACTTCCAGCCTGAATAAATCATAACTGATCAGTCCACGTTAGACATTAACTTTTTTGTGAAGAATAAGGATTGGGGGATGGGGAGGGTGGGGCTTATTAAGTTTCCTCCTCTGAAAAGGGGGGGGGGCTTAATAGAGGATTTACGGTAGGTCTTTTCAAATCCATCTTCCTAAAATTAGATCTTGCAATCAGCCTGGCAGTCTTTTGGATTTTATCTCCCTTGTCTGTCTTTCGTATTCTTGATCTTAAAGTGGAATGGAAGATCTCAACCTTCCTCTCATTCAAAACAGAACAAAGACCAGACTTGGCAGCATGATAAGCAGGGAAGTTTTCCTGTTGGTGTTGTTCATCGCTGATCCATGAGAGAGATGCCTAATTATTGTAATGGTGTCTATCAATTGCCACGAACATGATGGCCAGACACTTCATTGAGGATGCAAACTGTTCACATTGCCCACCTCTCACAATTACAGGATAATGCAGGAAACACAGAGGGTTGAGCTCTTCAAAAAGATGTGAGACTAATGTATTCAGTGTCCTTGCATTGTCCAAATGCTTGAATAACTTGTGTGCAGATTCTCAGCCAACCACAAAATGCCAGTACAAGTCACTGTGAGTGCTACTTTGTCTGGCTTGGGCTTTTCAGCCATTCTAACTCTGACCAAACACTGATGCATAGATCTCTTTGAAAAAGGGATAGTACTGCGTTAATACATCTTCTAAACTGTTCAACTATACATGAAACTGGCCTAACTCAGGGATAAGGAAAGTAACTTCTTGATCTATATTAGCGTGGTAAACAATCTTTTTTCGATGGTACCATGTTGGCCAGTCACTTACAGTGGAAATTACAAGTATTTTAAGGAACTCTTTGAATTCTGATATTACATCAAAAATGTACTGGTGGCAGGCCTAGTAGTCATCCTTACAGAGCAGTGTTTGTTCAATTTTGTCAATTACTATTGTTTATTTTAAGGTTTAGCTTTCCTTGGGATTTTCTCTCGAATAAACCATGTAATAAGCAATAAATTATTATAATTGAAGAGACAGTAGTGTTAGAAAGCTAATGTAAATAATTAGAAACAAGCTTGTCTATGTTGTGTGACTCTTTTTAAGAAAAGCACAAGCTTAGAAACCAGATATTAAGCAGACAAACTGACATGATGAGACACTGCTTATTCATTGAAGTCCACAAGTCATTACACTTTCCATACTTCTTCTAGTACTGGACTGCATTAAGCAAGAGTGCCATGCAAATTTTGCACCAGTTTGCATTGTAGGTGCTGTTGGTCTCTTATTTCTTTCTTCTTCATGATCTTAAATGATTGTTTCAGGTTCATTTGGTGTACCTACAGTAATTTACCTGTACTGGTATACTGAAAGATACACTCAGTCATCAAAATGCACCTGTGCTATAGGTAACCATTTGGATTGTTAGTGAAATAGTTAAATGTTCTCTGTCTTGCCTTAGCTCTTTAAAAGACTGCTGCATCATGGGAAGATCAATTTTCTTGTATGGTTGGGCCAAGCTCTCTAGGAAGAAATATTTTTACTAAATTCAAGCCAAAATCTTTTTATTTCTGTTATGACAGCACTGGTTGATATCCCTCCTCTGCACAACTGGGGTGGACTTCCAGGAGATGTGACCATTACACATCTGTGAATGCTGGCTGTGCCAACTGGTCAAGGAACTGCATCCACTGTTGACTGTATGTCAATGAGAATAGTTGCCTCATGGACAGCATTTGTAAGTATTTGCTCTGTCTTTTTTTTTAACTGTTTTGATGTTGTGGAAATCATTCATACATAGTACGTGAAAGAATTTCTGCTAAGCCAAAGCCAAAGCAGAAAAAAGAATTATTCAGGGGAAGGAGTTTTCCATTGGAAAATTCAGTTATAAAACAATACAGGGTCTATCTAAAGATATTTAACAATTATTCTGCGAGTGCGCATTGGATATGAGATGATAGATAGCCAACGAGGGG